GTTCATTCTCTTGGCAACCTATCCAATTCTGGGCATTCTCTCTCACCTAAAACATATATAAGAATATTAAGTACCTACGAGTAAAAAAAGGGAGTCTCCTCTTACAAGTAAGGATGCTACACAAACACAATGCGGTATGATTCAAAAGAATGTAGAACATGGGATTTCTTTTTTAAAAATGGATTCTGTTTGAATATATGCAAATCATTTCATCATCACACGCTTCAGACTCCCGACTGCTGAGTGAAGGATATAAGAGAAATACCTAAGGGCCCTTTGTATCCTTAACATTCATTCTATAGTTTGATTTCTGCCAGACATTACTCAGACAGTTCACACCTCCAAATATGCTCCACACTTGCTACACACGCAAAACATGATCAGGGCAAAAGAAATAGGCTGAGATGTCTCTCCTTTGCTGCCAAAATCTATCAAGCATATCCCAATTCCCATCAGTTTCAAAAAGTAAACCTTCAACTGCAAGTGTCAAAGAAATAAAATGTAAGCAAAGGAAAAGCCAAGAAAAATTATAGTGAAATTGATTATGTATCTAAAAATGCTATCTCAAGATAATTTCTTCAGGAATCAAGCAATACAGAGGAATGAGTTAGCAACAAAATAAATGTGCCATAAACCATTCTGACAGTCAGTAACAACATTATAAACAAAAAGCTCTTTTTACCCACAGAAAAAGAGTATGGGAATTGTGCAGTATCAAACACCAACACGATATCTACACAATATGAGATCTTAAAACATTTCAGGATCTGCTTCTTCAAAGACAGACTCTCAGAGAAAGATAATATGAACTAAGCTGTGAAAATGCAGTTTGAATGCCATTCAAATGTTATCACCCCAGCCAAATGAGAAGCACTTGTCACCCTTTTGACAATTTGGGTTCAGATGCTCTTCCATTGCCTACTAAGCTCGGAAGTAACGTTCTATTTTAAAAATGATATAAAAAGAGAGGGTAGAGGAACAATGTGGCAGGCAAAACAATTTACATTGTAAAATTGATACTGAGCCAAGTGTCAGCACCAAATATAGGATAAATCAACTCTGGAGCCACCCAGCCTGGGTTCAAATTCCAATTTCATCACCTACCAGCCTTGTAAATTTTAACAATTCAATTAATTTAAGTTCTCTGTGCCTAGCTTCTTCATCTGTAAACCCACTTTACCTCACAGGTGAAGTGCTTGGAATAATGCCTGGCATACTGTAAACACTATGGAAATACTAGGTAATGTTATCATGATTATTATTTCCCTTACTATATTGAGACTAAATGTTAAGTGAGAAGAACAACCACACTGTAATACAGGCTCAAGCTCCAGTTTAAAATTGTTACCAGGTATTTTGTTCACTGTTCAATAACAACTGTTATTTCAATCGGTATTTTCATCCCCATCCTCCAGAAATTCACAAATCAAATCACCAAGTATTAAGTTCATACCATATGAAATGAGTATATAGAAGCATAATTCAATATGCATCAAAAGTATAGCATATGCTATATATATATATACAATAGAATGTCATTCAGCCATAAAAAGGAATGAAATTCTAGTCTATGCTATCACATGGATGAACTCTACTACAACAAAGATGAACCTTGAAAATATACTAAATGAAACAGATACAAAAGGATAGTGCATGACTCCACCTACAATAGGCAAATTCAGAAAATCAGAAAGTAGAACAGAGGTTACCAGGGGCTGGGGCGGGGGAGGAGGGGAATGGGGAATTGCTTTTTATTGGGTGCAGAGTTTCTGTTTGGAATGATGAAAAAATTCTGGAAATGGATAATGGTGATTCATGATGTGCTTAATGCAATGAAGTATACACTTAAAAAGGGTTAAAATAGTAAATTTTACGAGTATTTTATCACAATCAAAAAATATCTTTTAAAAATACAACCTATATTTTCAACAGCAACTTTCAACAGGAGCATCAGCTTTAATAGTACTAAAATTTTAAAAAAAGATCACTTATTTTCAAGTTCCTGACGATGGACAACAAAGGAGTCAATATCAACCCTTAGCTGGACTTGGTTTAAAACACATGCTTGAAAATGGGTACATACTTCACAAATTCAAAAAGGAATATTATTTCATTTTGCTGATAGTCAATTTTTTTAGCTCGTTGAAGAGAAAAAAAAAGAGGATTATACTGAGAAAATACCTTTATATGTGGCCAATGCATAATGGTAGTTTTATGAGGAGGTATTTATCCACACAGAATTATAACATGAGTACAACAGTATACCTGTGCAGGGCACCATAAATGGATGTGTAAATCTACCGGTGTTCAATTCAAAAGTAGACAAACCATGAGAGACGATGGACTCTGAAAAACAAACTGAGGGTTCTAGAGGGGAGGAGGGTGGGAGGATGGGTTAGCCTGGTGATGGGTATTAAAGAGGGCACGTTCTGCATGGAGCACTGGGTGTTATACGCAAACAATGAATCATGGAACACTACATCAAAAACTAATGATGTAATGTATGGTGATTAACATAATAAAAAAAAGTAGAGGGGGTTCCCATATATTGGTAAACCATAATTTGAACCACTGAAATATCCCCCAAATTCAAAACAGAAATTAAAAGCCTATTATTTTGAAACATATAATAACACAAAATATTTGAAGTCTCCATTCCAAACACCACAACCAAAAGGCATATTGCATTTCAAAGACACAACAAAAGTAAATTTAATAAATTAGCATTTTCCTAGAATGGCTAAGGTGAAGGTACTCTAGTTGGGATAATTTAATTCTCCAGTAAACTCATAAATACCATATATCAAATATCACTCAAGGAATAATACATAAGGCCAAAACCAGACTAACAATATTAGCAAACACTTACATGGCTCTTCCAATACACCTGATTTGTTCTAAGCTCTTCACAGACACTAACTCACTTTACCCTCACAACAATCTTCTGAGAAAAGTACTCTTATTACTTACATTTTACAAATGAGGAACTGAGGTGTAGAGGGGTCAACTACCTTGTCTGGGCTCACTGAGCTGCTAGTAAGTGGTAGAGCTAGGACCTGAATAATGGAAGTGTGGTTCCCCAAACCCTGCTTTTAATCACTATGGTTTACTATCTCCTGGTGACACTGAGGAATGGAATACATAAAAATACAGACAAACTCAAAAGGCAAAACAACTTGTGCAGTTAAATATAATAAAAGCTCTGAGGAAATCACTGTATCAGAACACAGGACAGTAAGTGATACTTAGAATGACTGCTCTGAGACATAAGAAAAGTTTAAAGCATGTCAGTATACATAGTATTTAAGAAAGCAAGGAATTTTTTAGGGCATTTAAAATTTTTCTATCCAAAACAATCAGTATGATTTTCATTTCTAAAAGGGTAAAACTTTCAACAATCCAGAATTACACATTCCCTAAGGGGTCTAAAAAGGGTCGTACTGAGCAATCTTGCTTGCCTCTTATCTCATTCTTAAAGATAAGGATAGTGTGTGTGTGTGTGTGTGTGATAAATTAAGCTTTCCAGGTGTTTTAATTCCAGGTATATAACAACTAATACTAAAGATATTACAAATCATTTAGATTGATCAGAGAATAAACTCATCATTTAGATTGATCAGAGAATAAACTCATAGAATTATGTGTGACTATTGTGAAAAGCCTAGAATGTGATCGTTTATAGAGTTATTTAAAAAACAAGAAAGAAAAGGTATAGGCTCTGAAGTCATACATAGACCTGAACTTAAAGCCTAGCTCCACCATTTAGTAACCATAAGTTTTTGGCAAGTTATCTTCACATACCCGAACCTCAGTTTCCTTCTCTGTGTAAATTGACGATAATAATTCCTAACTCACAAGGTTGTTGTGTGAGCTAAGAAGAAAATATATGCAAAGTATCAAACACGGTCCCTGAGATACAGCAGATGGCTAACAATGAGCGACTATTATTCCCTAGTCTTATTCTACTTTGTCCCCCTAATATTAGAAGAATCTAATCTTACCAATTAGCAAGTCATAGGCAGGCGTCTCAAAATTACATGAAGTTATGCTCTATTCAAAAATGGAACATAAGTACAAAAAAATACAAAACCAAACCATCAACGGATCAAAGATTTCAGAATCCTGCCTTTCCTCCCATATCTATCCTGGTTGGTTTTGTAATAACCCATATTACTTTATCAACAAGATGAACTTTATTATTTTGTTGTTGTTGTCTAAACATTTCTAGTGGGGTTCTGTTGTTTATTTATTTTGATGGCTAACTTTGCAAAGGTACTTGTTACCACTGCTTGAAAACCAAAAAGAAAGCTAAGAACAAGGAACATTTTAATGAAATGCTGTAGCAGTTCCATCCATCTCAACAGTTGATTGGATCCTATGTATATCATTTATTATCACAATAGATTTTCACATTATTACGCCACTTCCTTACTCAACAAATACATGCATTAAGGAGCAAAACTCTGACTGCCAGTACGAATGTTCTTTAGGGACACCAAAATTCAAAGCTTGGTGCTCTCAGTAAGGATCCTAGGGGCAGGGGGTGGGAAGTAGACGGTTGGAGGAGCAGGGAAGGTGCCTGGGTTTCACTGCAAGTGGAAAATAAGAGAATCGTAAACTGTATCTCCTTAAACAAGCCTGGATATGAGTCTTGTGGGGCAAGGAGTGGAGAGGGGCGGGCGAAGTGGGCCTGGAGGCAAGAGAGGAAGAAGGAGGCAAATGCAGGCTTTAGAACGGTCTCTGCCACGGGGGGAGAGGAAAGTCAGTGCCCATCGGCACCGCGAGAACTGAGGCGGAGAGAAGTGGCCGCTCAGCCCAAGTCCCCAGGACAGGTTCAGCCTCAGGAGTCTGGGAGGACTGAGGGAATGGGGACCCCACCGAAAAAAGATGAGGACTGAGGAGGGTTCCCGGTCGCCTTCAAATGGGAAGCTGCTGTGCCGGCCGCCATCGCGGCGCCAAAGAAGAGGAAGGCATGGACCCAACAGGGAGCGCACAGTTACCTGTCTTAGCCGCCTGCCCACCGGTCTCCACTTCCGCAGACTCCTGGTTACCACGGGCTACCCGGGCCCTGCCTGGTGACGTCATCCAAGCGCGCCTGGACCGCAGTCGGTCCGGCCCGCCCTCTCCGGAAGAGCTGGGCGGAGTCGCGGGGGGGGGCGGGGAGATCTGCGCAAGCGCGGAGCTGCGGTCGGCGAGCGTGAGCCGAAGGGGATGGCTTCGCTTGGGGCTTGTAGGGTTACCCGGTTAACCCGGTTTTTTCTTAATTACAAAACCTTATAGGCATTTAAGAAAAAAATTACTGAATTAACAACATGCACTTTTTATTCCTTATTTTACCCTGCTCCTGGTATATATGACTGTAGCGTACATAATTCATTCCACCACAATTTATTAAAGTTCTGTTATGTGCCGGACAAGAAGTGTTAAAGGAATCTGGGGGGTACAGCAGTGAACAAAACAGTAATCTTCTGGAGATTCCTTTCTAGTTCAGAAAGTAAACATTGAATAACAACAAATCTATATGCGTTCTTAGAGATCAGAAGTGTGTGGAAGGAAAAAAAAGGAAGGAGGGCGCCCCATTAGTTTGAGATGTTAAGGAAGTAACTAACTATGAAGAGGCCTGTTGAACTGAGAAGTCCGCTTTGTCAAGATCTGGAGTTAGAACAACCAAGAGAAGAATCTAGATGTTCGAAAGCTATGGGGAGGGGATAAAATCTGGTGCCATTGAGAAAGTGAGAAAGGAGGCTGGGGAAAGAACAGAAGATGAGATCAAGGCAAGTAGAGTCCTGATCTTGTAGAGCCTTTCTGCGTCATCATAAACGCATGGGTTTCATTTGAACTGTAATGGGTAGCCAGTGAAGAGTTTCAGACATGCAAGTGACAGGATCTGTTTTTATAAAACCGCCCTAAATGTTGTGTATACAATGAACTATTGGGAGACAAAGGATGCAAAGAGAGCAAGTTGCTTTTGCAGTGATGCTGTAAGAAATGATGGAGAGAAATGAACAAATTTAAGTAATAATTTGGAACTAGAGATGACAGACTTGGAGATGGATTACATAAGGCGATAAAGGAAAAGAAAGGTGTCAAAAATTACTCCTAAATTTTGGGCCTCAGCAAAAAGCCAAATAATGCAGCTGAAACAACTTCTAAGGCTTTGCAAGATTTGCTTCTCCTTCCTTCAACCCGGATCCCTTTGTTTCTATTACCAAGCCCTCTTGGTTCTTATCTCTTTGACTATCTCTTCTCAGTTTCCATCCAAGGGCTCCTCTTTCTTTCCCTTTTCCTTAACTCTTTCCTCCTTGATCTTCTTACGCTACATCAAGCTGGAAACCCAAAAGCCTACAAGTGCTCAGGCAGTGAACATGAAGGAGTGAAGCTCATGATTAGAGACTATGGAGAACTGGAGTTCATGGTCCCTACTCAGCTCTGGATGAGTTTTGCCAACCAAGAGTGCTGGCTTCATGATGTGATGATACAGATACATAAAATTCTTACATAAAATTTGTTAAATTTCAAATGTTGGTCACTAATTTGAACTTTGTTAAACTTTTACTTTGGACCAAACAAAACACATGTGCAGGCCACAAGTTTGCCTCCCTGGTGGATATTTTCCCTGTGTGATGACATCATCTACTCTCTTGGGACTACCACCAGTAAGTTGATAACTCCCAAGTCTGTCTCTCCACCCAAACCTTTTTAAAATTTGCTATTGAAATACTCAGTTGGCATCTCAAACTTGACATTTAAAACTGAACTCATCAGAGACTCAACTATAGGGAACAAACTGAGGGTTGTTGGAGGGGAGGTGGGTGGGGGGGATGGGGTAACTGGGTAATGGGCATGAAGGAGGGCACGTGATGGAATGAGCACTTGGTGTTCTGTGAAACTGTTGAATTACTGAATTCTGCCTCTGAAACTAATAATACAGTGTATGTTAATTAAATTTAATTTAAATAAATAAAACTGAACTCATCATCTGCCCCACCATCAAACCTAATCTACTCAGTTATTCTGTCTCAGTTAACAGTATCAACATCCACCCAGGCGCCCAACCCTGAAATCCAGAATGATCCCAGGCTCATCTCCCTTATCCTACAGTCAAACCAAACATGTCCTGACTTTGATCTCCTCAATATTTATCACATTTGCCTACCACCTCCATTCTTAACTAACCACTGCCTTTGATGAAGCATTCATATCTCTCTTTAGGAAAGTCACATAACCTTTCTGCACCTCAGTTTTTTTACTTGTAAAATGTCACATGAGTTGGAGGGGGGCACAGGGAAAGGGAGAGGCAGAGAATCTCAAGCAGAATCCCTGCTGAGTGCAGAGCCTGACGAGGGGTTCGATCTCACAACCCTCAGATCATGACCTGAGCTGAAACCAAGAGTCAGATGTTTAACCAACTGAGCCACCCAGGTGCCCCAAACCCTCAAATTTTAGATATAGAATATCCTATCTTTGCTGGACATGTGGCCACGCTCCTGCCCCTCCCCCTGCATATGCTCGCTCACTCTCTCTTTCTCTCTCTCATAAATAAATAAAATCTTTAAAAAAGAGAATAAAAAATGTCATAAAAGAAGAGCTAGCTGGCATAAGGGAAAAGATGCTTGGGGTTTGGCAGCCATCTTGACCATGGATGGTAAGCATAAGGATGAAGAGCCAACATGCTGAGAAAGGAGGGGGAGAAGGAGCGTGGGATCCTGAGTCACTGCTGACATTTTTGAGATGCTGACCCTGATATCTCTCTCTGGACTTCTTAGTAAAACAATACTGCTTCTGGTTTTTGCCCATTAGTAAGGCTTATTGTTATTGCTGCTGCTTGCAATTAATTTTTGGTGTGTACAATTAAAAAAGGAATAAAGGAATCCCAGCATTTGGGGCAGTGTGGATTTATCTCTTCACTCTTTTCTATACCAAGCCTTGTTTCCCATGTTTAAATATTACTCACAACTGAGACTTCTGCTCTTAATCCTGTTCTTGCTTTTGTCACTGCTACTATCTTACTCTTTTGAATGTGCTAATAAACCCTTCTCCACGATTTACCCTACTGTATACTAGATTTAAATGATCTTTTGCCTACCTCTCACCAGTGCAGTTTCAGGTATGCCATTACCACTGTTTTAGGCTGAATTGTAAAGAGTTCACAGAAAGGAAATGAGTCTTTGTGTTCCCTAGAAAATAAAGTTGTGCTTTGCCTTGTTACCAGAAGCCCCAGGATTTCTGGGTATGAGTGGTCTACTAAATCCCCATCCACTACAGGAAAACTCAATTGTTCCTGATTTTGTCACAATCTACATGGCCCTAGCAACTTCACTCAATTTCTCATTATACAAATGAGAAAAATGTTACTAAATGATTTTATGGTGGTTTTTTTTT